CTTCTGAGAGTAGCTGGGACTACAAGTATGTGCCCCATTCCCAGCTAATTTTTGTATTTTTAATAGAGACTGGGTTTCACCATGTTGGCCAGTGTGGTCTTGATCTCTTGACCTTATGATCCACCTACCTCAGCCTCCCAAAGTGCTGGGATTACAGGCATGAGCCACCATGTACAGCCACATGGCAGTCTCTTAAACAGGGTTCCAGAGCACTGACCAGGGACCTCCCTGTCTGTTTAACATTCACCTGACCCTCAGTTCTGGTTTTTGCTGTTTATTTTTTCCTTGTTTGTAACTTCTGATATTCTAATATCTGACGCCTGTGTGATCATAAAGGAAAGAGCCTGTGGAGCCAGAGTCTTCACTCGAATCCTTGTGCTATCTCACAGCTGGCTGTGTCACCTTGGCAAGTTACGTAAGCCCCACATGCCTCCATTTCTGCAACTGAGTAATAGTGATAGTAGTGGCCACATTGTAGGGTTGTTGTGGCTTTGAGATGTTGGTTAGATAGAGTTCCCAGCATGGAGTTTGGCTCATGGTTAGGGTTGAACAAATCATTATCTCTCCCCTACCCCATCCCAGAATTTAAAGATTATAAATATATAAACTGCCTACAAAAATGTTGCCAAAAGATACTTAAGCAAATTTACTACAGTAAAAGAATGAATTCAGCTAGCTGTGAGCATATATGTTGTTACAGTGTGTCTTAAATTAATCCAGTAGGGCACAGTGGTTCGTGCCTGTTATGCCAGCATTTGAGGATGCTGAGGTGGGAGGATTGCTTGAGGCCAGGAATTTGAGATCAACTTGGGCCGCATAGCGAGACTCCCTATTTAAAATAAAATTTTAGGGAGGTGCGGTGGCTCGGTTCTGTTTCCCTGGTTCATAAAGAGGCAACATAGGAAGTCCTCATCTATGTAACAAAAACAATTTTTTTAAATAAAAAATTTAAAAGTTAATCTGAGGCCAGGCACAGTGGCTCACGCCTTTAATCCTGGCACTTTGGGAGGCTGAGGCAGGTGGACCACTTGAAGTCAGAAGTTCGAGACCAACCTGGCCCACATGGTGAAACCCTGTCTCTACTAAAAATACAAAAATTAGCCCGGTGTAATGGCGCATGCCTGTAGTCCCAGCTACCTGGGAGGCTGAGGCAGGGGGATCGCTTGAACCTGGGAGGCAGAGGTTGCAGTGAGCCAAGATTGTGCCTGCCACCATATTCCAGCTTGGGTGACAAAGCGAGACTCTGTCTCAAAAAAAAAAAGTTAATCTGAATCCAAAGGGTAATATTTTCAGCAGTATTGTCTCTGGGGGTTCTCTGAAGTGCAGAGGAGGAGACCTTAGTGGAAGGATATCTCAGATGCTGCTTGAGGCCATAAGTAGTTTCTTTTGAGACAGAGTCTTACTCTGTCACCTGGGCTGGAGTTCAGTGGCATGATCTCAACTCACTGCAGCCTCCACCTCCAAGGTTCGAGTGATTCTCCTGCCTCAGCCTCTCAAGTATCTGGGACTATAGGCATGTGTCACCATGCCCAACTAATTTTTCTATTTTTAGTAGAGATGGGGTTTCACTATGTTGGCCAGAATGGTCTTGATCTCCTGATCTTGTCATCCACCCGCCTCGGCCTCCCAAAGTGCTGGGATTACAGGCGTGAGCCAACATGCCTGGCCCTCTTTTTTTTGAGACAGAGTCTTGCTGTGTTGCTCAGGCTGGAGTGCAGTGGTGCAATCTTGGCTCATTGTAACCTCTCCCTCCTGGGCTCAAGTGCTCCTCCCACCTCAGCCTCCTGAGGGCTGAGACAACAGGCACGTGCCACCATGCCCAGCTAATTTTTGTATTTTTTGTAGAAATGGGGTTTTGCCATGTTGCTCAAGCTGGTTTTGAACTCCTGGGCTCAAGCAGTCTGCCTGTCTCAGCCTCCTAAAATATTAGGATTACAGGCATGAGCCACCATGCCTGGCC